CCCCCTCCCCCCTTCCAGGAAGGTGCTGTTAAAGGGCTAGGGAGCAGGAGCACAGCTGGGATTCTGTGGGGGGGGACAGCCTGAGAAGTGTATCAGGACAGAAGCCACGGCCCCTGGACTAAGGAGCAGCAGCCGCCCACCTGTGCCAGAGCTACCCGGGAACTTCAAAGGCCTGGACTGCTCAGGCCACCCCTGTGCCCCAGCTGCCTTGGGGTTTTCATCCTACAGCGATTTGGAAGCCGGCAGGGTGGTGGCTCACACCTGTCATCCCAGGACTCTGGGAGGCCGAGGCGAGAAAATCACTTGAGCTCAGAGGTTCGAGACCAGCCTGGGCAACTTGCCGAGACCTTGTCTCTACAATAAATCAAAAGAATTAGCCGGGCGTGGAGGGCATGCCTGTGTTTCCCGCTACTTGGAAGGCTGAGGCTGAAAGCTGAGGTCAAGGCTGTGGTGGCCTTAAGTGTGCTTTTGGGCAACTTATTTCACCTCCCTGGGCCTCAGTTTCCCAATCTGTAAAGTGGGAATAAAAGTAGTACTCCCTCCATCGGGGTGTGGCAAGGAATAAATGAATGACTTAAGTAGAGTCCTTGGATCCATGCCCAGCCCTGCCTGATGCTCTGTGTAACCCTGACGTGCTGGTTCCTTTACACCCAGAGCATCCCAAGAACCCCCCGACCCTGCCCTGCTCCGGGGAGCCGTCTCCAGGGCCGGTGAAGGGCTCTGGCAGATCTCAACTGGCCCTCCAGTGGCAGTGGGGCCAGAGAGAGGCTGTGACTCATTGGTGGCCAAGCCAGACCCCCCTCTGGGGGAGTCTTTGTGCCCCTAAGCCTTGTTCTCCCATTTGTAAACATGTTTCAGGTGTCCGAATGCCCCTCCTCTGCCCTCATCCCACGCCAGGAGCCAGGGCGAGTCTCCCCCACGCGAGGCTACACCAGGGCACACGGAGAGACCCCCAGCAACCGTTGCCCATGTGCCTGCTGTCACCAGGAAACGGTGTTCTCCCCATTGAGGCTCACTCAGGGACTGATAGCGAACGGGAAACCAGGAAACCAGCTGTGCCACTCCAGGGACCCCCGGCGGTGGTCTCTGTGAGCCCTGCCTCCTGCCCACCCTGCAACCTTGAGACACTTTCCTCTTGCCCCTCGTTGGCCTGGCCAGAGGCCCCCATGCTTGGAGGCTGCAGGTGTCTGCGCACGTGTGCCTAGGCGTGTGTTTTAATGCAGGACCTTTAAGACGGAAGTCACCCCTCCATTGATGAGAGACATGTCTCTGATTGTGTGTGTGTGTGTGTGTGTGTGTGTGTGTGTGTGTGTGTGTTCCCCAGAGACCAGCCCCTTCCTGGAGCTGGTGACGCTACCGTTTGTTTTCTGAGTCACCCCAGTGGACAGCAGCTGGACCGGTCGCAGGTGGGGCTGTGGTTAGTTTGATTTTGAGTCTTCTGGCCGGGAGTGGCCTGGGAAGTGCTGGCGTGGGTCTGTTCTCCGGAAGTGCCCACCGGGCCCCATTGTGCAGGGTCTGGGCCCAGCTTCTCGGCGGCACCCTTCTCTGGGGGGGTCTTTGTGCCTCTAAGCCTTGTTTCCCTGTCTGTCAAGGGAACTAGTAAGGGTGCACTTCGGGGGCTCCCGGGAGGGCTGTGGGGGTGGGTTCTGTAGGGCCTGGAGTCACCTGGGCCGCACTCTGAGTGCTGTTATCACCGCCGTCATCATCACGGCTGCCACACTGTAGGGGGTCTCGGGGGCTAGGACAGAGGAGGACAGACTGCCCGGCCTGATGAGGACACATGTCCCCCATCCTCAAGGTGCTCCCGGGTGGTTCAGCAATGGTTAAAGCCCGGCCTGGGCCAGCACGGAGGCGTTCAGTCTCTAGCTCTCAGCCTCCGTTTGGGGAAGGTTAATTTTTTTTTTTTTTTTTTAGTTGAGGGAAGGGCGGTCACGTTCATTCTGCCCCTAAAACTCAGCGTGTGGGAAGGAGGGGGTCTTGCCACCTCGTGCGGGAGGCGACCCCGTTCTGGCGAGGGCGGGTGAAGGGAAGTGCACTGGTCTGCTCAGTTTCCTCCTCCTTTCTACTGCCAGAGGCATTGTCGAGGAAAACAAGAGCCTGGGTCCCCAGTGACATCTTAGCTATTGTCCCAGTTCGGGTCACCAACACCCAGGTTGTTTTTACACAAGATAAGCAAACACCTTATTTAATTTAAAACAAAAAACAAAACAAACCCGAACCTGGAGCCAGCTTGCGTTTGGGGCAGCCATATACTTGCTGTTGTGATCTTGGGCCTTGTCCTCTTCTAGAAAAGGGGCTGGCAGGTGGGGCAGCGTCATTATGGAAAGAGCAGGGGAGGTTGAGGCCGCATGTCTGAGAGGCTGGGAAGGTTGTGACAGCAGCAGCTGCCTGGGACTCAGGGCTCTTGGGTAGAAACTGCTAGAAGGACTCAGGTCAGAGGGCAGAGGACGGAGTCCAGAGACCAGCCCTGCACCCACCTGGCTCTCCCGCCCGCTTGGGTGAACTTTCCAGAGGCTCTTCTGACACACAGATGCCCAGCACCTGCCCGAGGAGTTGATCCAGCAGGTCTGGGGAGGGCCCAGACGCCCACATGTCTAACAGGTGCTCTCCTGTCCCGTGAGCCCCCAACAGAGGCTGTCTCAGGGCGGGAGCAGGAGCCACACCCCCTCTGGGGCTCCAGGACACCCACTGTGTGCAGGCCCTGCCAAGACTACAGCTCTACAGCAGGGGAGGAGAGGACAGAGAGAGAACAACGTCCGAAATAAGAACCACCTGGTGCTAGTCCCTGAGCCTCAGTTTACCCATCTGTAAAGATAGCCCTGCAGGCCCGACATTCTATCCATCCACATCTCGCTACCAGGACTGTCCTGGGCCTGGGGCCCGGGTGAGGACAAGCGGCCCTGACCCTGCCCTCGGGACGGGGCCGGGTGAGAAGTGGAAAATGGGACAGGGTGTCCGGGAACGCTCACGACTGGGTGGGGCGCGCCGTGGGCGTTCAGGGCGCCCGCCAGGCCCAACCTCCCAAGCTGGGCCATGCCCAGGCAGACAAGACCAGACACATGAGGAAACAAGAGCCAACAGCCCGATGACAGACCCGGGGCGTCATGCGCCCTGGATGTCTTCGACCAGGTGATAAATGACACTTGTGACACTCGAGGAAGCAGGACCGGCCTCCTCCCTGACCTTCCTCTTTCCCGGCCACAGACAGCAGCCCTCTCGTGGGCAGCACGCCCGCCGGTTATGGGACCCTGACGATCCGGACATCAGTCGATCCCCTCAGCTCCTCAGTTTCATCCGTGGTAGGTGGGGCGGGGGAGGGCTGCGGGTGGGACCCACCCAGAACCCCGGGCGC